TTACACCACCACCACCAGCCTGCACAGTGGTAACAAGGCATGATGGATCCATGTTCTCATTCTGTTTACGCCAAATTCTGACTCTACCAGACTCTACTGACTCTTTTCAGTGTCAGCAGGGGGTGATCGGTGGGCAGGGGCTCGGGGGTGGTGACGTCCAGACCAGCAGAGGTGGACATTTCAGGTCCAGAAAGTAAAAATTCCAAACCAGGATTTTATTTCAACCAACCAGTTGAGTACTATATGACTGCTACTCTTTATACTTAACTGGTTGGTTGAAATAAAATCCTGGGTTGGATTTTTACTTTCTGGACCTGACATGTCCACCTCTGCAGACCGGCCGCTGCGATCTGCCCGCTGTACAGGGCTTCGTAGAGGTCCTCCTGGTTCACCACTGCACCTCTGCAAACTCTGCCAGTTCATCCCTCAAGGGAAACCTAAAGGACTTCAGGATCAATGAGCTTCAATGGAGTAGGATTAACAGCAGCTTATGGTGCCACCTGCTGGTCTCAATAAAGACTGCGGTCTTCTTCATCCTGCTGAAAAATGCCTTGTTACACAGTCCCTGGGTCTCGGGGGTCAGGGAGCAGGACACGATGATGAAGTCACTCTCTGACAGCAGTTGGTCCAGCGGCACTGTCCAGCACATGCAAGCCAATGGAAACACTGGAGAGCACACTGGCATTAACACTGTATGCTGGAAATACATGAAATACTCTATGCATTTTGACTCAGATGTATGCCTATGTAAATAAATTTGTAAAGAAGGTTGGGGGGGGGGGCGGTTGTGCAAGGATCTATGTTTTAGGGTCAGGATAAGTCATAAATCAGACCAGGACAAAGACACAGCCATTTGCAGGCACACAGGTGTGAAACCTTTTGTGGCTCAATTCTAGGAAAATAATTTCCTCCTTTGTGCAAAGGAAACAAACATTATCACTATAATCTCTATTCCGCATGACTGAGACCAGGAAGTCGCTCACAGTCTGCTCCTCACTGGAATATTCCCCTTGCCACTATGATCTCTATTCCGCATGACTGAGACCAGGAAGTCACTCACAGTCTACTCATTACAGGAATATTCCTTTTGCCACACAATCTTCACGAAAACCATAATGCCACACAATCTTCACGAAAACCATAATGCCTTCTGGTCCTTTTAATAAATATACAGCTTGCTGAGCACTAAACTTACAATAATACATACATTTCCCAAACAGTAAATGGTATTCCTACTGCGGGCTTCCTACAGCACCGCATGTGGGCTCCTTTGTCCGTCACGTCAGTTAATTCCAGAAACACCTCATAATATCACACATGCAAGGCACAGACAATAATATCAGACAAGGCATGTCTTCTGTCTTTAGATACAAAACCTCGTATTCACATCTGTTTTGACCCCTTATTTAAACAGATGTTAATGTATATAATTTACATGTCGCTAAAACACAAAATCCACTTCAGCCCTTTTTAACATCATTGGTGTCTGTATCTGCATCAAAATATAAAGATTCATCAGCTACACTTGGGGGCGTGATTTTTCAGTAATCATCTTAGATGACTTCAAGTAAGAATTTTCCTGAGTTTGCACAGAATATTTCAGGTGGCATGAGAAATACAGGCCTATCGATATTAAATATATTATGCCGTTGATATTGTAGAATATGGTTCATCATGTGATCATGAGCAGGATAAAGAGGTAAGAGGTGGATGGATGTCCCATCTTCTACAACGTCACAGTGAGCTAGGAGCCACCCCCCTGGCAGGGGACACAGTAGACACTAAGGTGGCCCGTCACGGGGCAAATACACACTCAGGGCAATTTAGAGACATCATCTCACTTAATGGGATGTGTTTGGGCTGTGGGGGGAAACCAGTACGAACATGGGAGACGAAGGAGACCGCACCCACACCCAGAAGCGGGGGCCTGTATCACCGAGCAGGATTTCTTATAGCCAGATAACATGTCGGATTTAAGGTTCCCCAGCTGAAATGGACTTTATCTTCATTCATTTACATGTAGCACAGACTGCCTTAAATCCGATAATTTGCAGTACTATCCAGAGCCCCCTGGGGCCCGTATCACAGAGCAGGATTTCTTGCTTAGCCACATAGCTTGTTGGATTTAAGGTAGTCTGGGCTAAATGTAAGTGAACAAATAAAGTACATTTAAAATGGGGTACCTTAAATTCGACAAGCTATCCAGCTAGAAGTAAGAAAACCGGCTTTGTGATACAGGCCCCTGCAGTTTAGATATGCCTTGTCTTGTTCACTTCTATGTACTGATTTTCTTAAATCTTTCTGATAATACTAAGACTGCATTATCCATAACCTACAGACTTGGACAATAGATTAATTTCAGTGTTAAATAAAGAACTGCTTTGGAGCATCACACAAATGATATCATTTATTGACAACAGGCAAATCAAAGCCATCATACAGCGGGATTTAAACAAACCAAAACATTACAGGCAGCCCCCAAGTTAAGAACGTCCGACATACAGACACTTCCTACTTACAGGGTGGCATAAAGCCAATTACAGTAAAAATTCAGGTTTTATACAAGTTACAACGCTACATGATAATGAATGCAGGCGCTACTTTGTGACGCTCGTGATGACATTGTGTGGCTTCAGCGTTTCATTAAACTGGGGTATTGTAGTTAATTTTATTATTACTGCATTATTAGTATTATTATGTATCAATACAAATTTGATACAATATACATACAAATCTGACTTAAATACAGACTCATTGAGCAGATCTCCTTCATAACCTGTATTATTAAAATAATAATCAATCAGCCCAGCTGGCCCTATTTGTCCCAATCCAGTTGAGTGTTCCAAGCAGGGTCAGCTGACTTGTGTTAACAAAGGTATCTGCAGACCCATGAAAAGAGACTCTGCAAACCAACACAGCATTTAGTCCCCCATTAATCACTCAGCTCTCTGGATTGCTGTTCATTATCTTCAGAATAAGTCAAGCAGTCTATCAGCTTGGTGTAGCCGTGCTTCAGAGCGAGGCTCACAGATGAAATCAGCAAACCGTAGCTTAATTTCTTTGTAAGCAGACTGTACTCATAGCGTCTAAAACATATAGCATATGACTCTCCTACGTTTACTGTGTGATAAAATTGTGCTGAAGAGCCTAAGCTTTTGGCATAAGAATGGAGTGTATGGAGTGCTGAGAGATTATCCACTATATCCTCCAACTTTATCCTGCTACTGCTCCTTCTTCATAAAGAGGTTCTCATTCATACCATAATAGTGAGTGTTTGTAAGTCAGGCTACATGAAACTGTATTTACAGGGGAGGGATCGGAGGCAGGAAGGGGTGAGGACAGGGGAGGGAACTGGAGCAAGGAGAGGGACTGAGGTAGGGGGGTCAGTCATTTACATCCTTTCCCATCCATTGCCTCCTCTTCTGTAACATCCTTTGCTAATCATCATAAACCAGGGAGACTGTATAAGAAATGGGGAACAAAGACATGAAACCATGGCGATTTCACAGCCCTGCACTTACACACATAAGCCTCAGATGTCATGTTATTCCTATACAGTATGTCTAATATGTGACATATTGACTCTAAATTACCCATATTGTCTGATTGTGTGTGTGTCTGTGTGTATGGAATGTCCTGCCTTAGACTCTACGCCGCCTGGGATGGATGGACAGATGGATTCCTGGGGTATTATGTTTGTAAATGAAATAATCCTCCCCCCCACTCAATTCACTTTTCTACATAACGTCTGGGATGATATAATCAGCTTCATCGTCTGGTGTGTGTATCAGGACAGGAGATCGTCTGGGCGATGAAGGCTGGGCTGCCAGCAGGGTCGGACTCTGGACCGCGGGCGAGACTCTGGCCTTCGATGCCGTCGCTCCTGAGGGACGCTTCGGGAAAATAATCCTCTCAGATGGCCGAACTAGAGGAAACAGGTCTCATTTTCAGCTGCGTGTCGTAAATCCAATCAGGGTGAATAATAGCAATTTAGTGGTGAGCCAAAATAGAAAGAAACACACATGACGTTTCGCGGAGGTATTTTCATTCACATGAATGTTCTCTCGGCTAACGGAGGGATATTTTACGCTGTCCTACCGATTAGACTGTCGTAATTCTGTGGCTGAACGAAAGGTTTCAGGCGGTGTGAGGTTTCCGTTAAGAAATACTGCACGACGTCATAGAGGTTGGAAACTGTAACCTAGCAACATGGGAGACAGAACAGCGGCTGTGAGTCGCAGGCAGGTCGGGCGTACAGGAGCGGTGAGCGGCGTCGAGGAGGCGGGGCTCCGCACGCACCGGGCTGTTCAGCTCGATCACGAAGCTCCTGTCCTGGGAGCGCACCCTGTAGTGTTTTATCACCGAGTTCCTGAAATTTGGGGGGGCAGATGGTCACAAGGTGTTTTCGTGAGTATGGCAAAAAGTGGAACACAACACGGGTGCTGGAATGTAAAAGGTGAAACGTGTCACGAGGAACATGAACAGCTCTGGCATCCGCCATTCAAGTGACCAGTACGACTGTAGAATATCAGCATAAATTCAAAACAATAGGCCTACATAATGATATTATTCGTTTAATAATTAACGCTAAACTAAGTAAAAATAACTAAAGTAAAAATCATTCCACAAAACAAACATCAGTTCCCATGCAAGCCTTTGGTGGTCTTCAGTAATTAACCTCGAAATTTCTTGTGTTTTATCGAATATCATCCCTCATCCGGCAGTGACATTACACTGTGCTAAAATAACAGTACTATAATCGTTGGTGTGTGTATAAAATGATTAGGGTAAGACGTTCTACAATTCAGTGTTTCAATTCACTATGCGGAGTCCTCGGTCCCGACGGTATGACGTGGAGCAGAACCAGCCCTCAGCTGCCGTGATTTCTTTTCTTTTTTTTTTTTTTTAGCTGCCGTGATTTCTGATCCAAAAGCGGGTTCTGCTTTTCTCTATTTCTTCCCCTCACTGTTATTTATTGTTTTTGGTTTATATTTCACCCCCCGTTGCTACACCAGCTTCTGCTCTTGTCTCCCGGTTAAATATCCACTCCTTCCTGCCATCCCAGTACCTGTGCCCAAGGCAAAACATAACTTAGCATGACCAGGGACGAGACTATTGTTTCTGGGGCCCACTTAAAAAGTCACTTTGCCCCCCCCCCATAAGATATTTTCAAGAGTAAAGTCAGAAGATTGTAGCTGGCCGGTTTGTAGAACACAATCTCCTAATTAAGTAAATAAGTAGTGACTGTTTGTGGCCAGCAGGGGGCTCCACACAAATGTGTCGTTTGAATGGTGGTAAATGCCGTCACTGAGTGTGGCACGTGATTCAAGACCAGGGCGAAAGTGGCCATCGGCACTAGCGTGTCTGTACAGTTTGTGTGTGGTTGGCTATGTGTGTGTCCATGTTAAGCCGTGTGGTATGACCAGGGGCGGATTAAGGTGCACAGAGGCCCCTAGGCTACAGTAGTCTGTGGGCCCCCCTCCGCGCCAATGGGGGCCCCCTTGCAGGCTGGCACACGTGGGGCCCCTAGGCTTAAGCCATATCTAGCCTATGCGTTAATCCGCCCCTGGGTATGACACAAGCGCCCAGACCTGTCGAACAGCTGCCTTATGGTGACGGCGTAATTGATGCCGTCTGTCGCCGGACGCAGGATGATGCTGCCATACTCCGGGTGGTCCTCCAGCATCATCTCTGCCTCCTCCCGGGAGACGGTAGAAAAGCAGCTGGGGGTGGAGAGGAGGCACAGACAGAGACACGTCAAACGGTAGAGGAGGGGGGGACTCCGAGCCGGTCGGGAGCTGGCGGGCTGCGGGCAGAGCGCTCTCACGGGGGCATTTGGATGACGACGTCCTCGTAAGCCTCATCGGGAATTGTTTGTGGGAAGGACAGCGGGTCCCTGTACTCTGAGGCGTGGGACGCGTTGATCCTCTGTATCTCCTGCTCCAGAACGTCTTGTATCCTCACCATCTGACCGGGAAGCAGCTGCAGGTCCTGGGGAATCTCGAGCTGGAACGACGCGGGTCCCTTCTTGGAATATTTAACACACTTCCGTTTTCTTAGGAAAGCAAAATCACTAACGCCATGGTTACTGCACGTGTTTAGTAAAACACAACCAGTATAACGTGCAGCTGGTGGTCGGGCAGTGTTTTGAGGGCTATGGTAATAATTAACGCAGAAATAGTGCGACTGAAATCAACAGCAAAAGCACATAAGGAAACGTTATAAATAAGAATTCTTTAAAGCACAAATCTACCCGATGTAGGCCTATCTTACTCAGATGATGGAGGAAATCAGATTAAGGTCAAGCATGAGAAATTTATAGTAATCTGTACTAAACATACGCGTAAAGGAAAAATACTAACATAGGCCACAGTCGTAATAAAGCCCCTCCACTCTTCGCCAGCCTCCTGACTGTCAATCTGTGAATAAAACAATGTAACCGAATTTTAAGAGCGATAACGGTTTTTTCAATGATTAAGGCCCTCGGTGGCCGATGGCTTTTGTATCTGACCTTCAGATGGATTTCCTCATTTTGTAGGCTCAGAATGTAGACCAGCGAGCTGCTTCGCATTCCCGGTTTATCGAGAGTAATTGCCTTCAAGTTCTGGAGATGCACCTTCTCGGAGTACTGCGGGAATAGAACAAGTTATCGCATTAAATCTGAACTATGGAAAAGACATTTGTGACGTGGACGTGTAGCGATCGTATAACAAGTGGATGAATGTATGTTAATTACAAATTACAGATTAAAAATACGATGACCGACGGCCGTCTCTTATTACCGAGTCGTGCTTCGGGTCTGCGTAGAGGAAGATCGTGCATCCCCGTAACTCGGCGAAGAAATTTTTAAAATCCTGGAAAAGGTGGGAACAAGGACTGCAGGGGCGACCCTTACTACACATCACATGTAAAACTATAAGATTGTTATTATTATTTATTATCATTATTATAAAAAATACATTGAAAATAATTTACACTGAGCATTTACTATCACAGCTTTTAACTCAAGACAGTTAAAGCATCTTAAACATTTTAGCGGCTGGAGGACTAGGGCTATTCAGTGTTTGTTATAGGGCAGTCCTCATGTCCTTTTCAGCCTCTCTGGGAGTTTCAGAGATAGCGGGGATAGTGGTAGGCTACCTGCGGAGTGGGCAAAAGTGGCGGGTTCCGCACAATGCTATATATACTGGGGAACATTCATTGTGACTCTCTCTCTTGCTCCTGATTGCATTGTGTTCATCTTTGAGTTTTGGCGTGGGCTCCGGCCGTACAAGGTCCATTAAAGTGCTCACTCTTTTCTAATACGCCTGTTGCGTGGTCATTACAATTTGTTGTCAGAAGTGGGATAGAGAGACACAATTAATGTTCCCTAGTATATATAGGGTCGTCTGGAGAGCCTGCCACTTCTCCTTTTGCCCACTCCGCAGGTACCATTATCCCCGCTATCTCTGAAACTCCCAGAGAGGCTGAAAAGGGTAGCAGGACTGCCCCATAACAAACATTGAATAGCCCTAGTCCTCCAGCCGCTATGATATTTTATCCGTCAGTCTGTTGATGCATCGCTTCAGTTACCTGTTCTCCTTCACGTTTCATCTGTAGATCTCCATAGTAGTACAACGGCAACGCTGTGATTTGCTCTCTCCTTTTGATGACCACCCTGGGAGCCACAGAAGATACGGACATGATGGTAACCCGTACTGCCTGACTGCGATTTCTAACCACCTCGGCCGGTAATACTGCGCTACTGAAGCGAATCACGTTCACCTGGTACTCACAGTAAACAGGAATGCGGAAAGAGTTTGGGGCAGGAGAATCACAGACAGCTCCGATTACTCCAAGTGTACCTTGAACTTCATGGTGTTAAGCAAAATTATTCCCTGTAGCCGATGATGAAAAGATTTTCAAGTCAAGTTTCAAAATAGTCTCCAAGGACATGGGCTTATGACTGACGTGCCCTACAGTCTCCTGTGTTATGCCAACGCCAACATACAGTATCAAAATGTTACTGAATCGTGTTGCTCGTGCTTATACTGATGACACTGCATCTAGTAAACTGTAATTTTCTTGAAGCACTAATGGGATTGATCGGTGGGTGTCACACCTACAGGATTGTGGTTTAAATCCCCCCCACTCACACACACAACCCCAAAACAGGCAGTTTCGATAAATTCGTGTTTCTAAGCAGCCTGCGCGCGTACCCTGAATGCAGTACTTCTGTTCCGTTAGATATTCACCTGTATAAATCATTAAAATATAAACTCTATAAGCTGCTTCGGCAATGTTATTCTGGGTGTTAAAAATTAACGTAAGCACACGATTTTGGACTGTGGTAGGAATCCGGACTGGGAAAGGGCATGCAAACTGCCCACACAGTCCCCATCCCGGACTGGGGCTACATGATGACCTTCATCGTTCCATGTGCATGTACCTGCACCGTTTTAGTCTACTTCAAAACTCTGTCGTTTCATTAAGTGAATCTTTCCCCTGTCTATCTTTCGTTGTCCCCATGATAGATAGATATTTGTTCTCTCACCCTTAAAAACCCATCCCTCGTGGGCAGCAGGCAGCGGGGCGGGGCTTACATTCACCAGAACCAATGACAGGCTTTGTTTTGGACGCGGCTCCGCCCAGCAGCCACACCCTCGCCGCTCCCCTGCCAGTGTCTATCCAGGCTTTAGCCGCGGTCCGCCGGGGCGCCGCTCCTTGCGAGGCCGGTGGGTGGGTGGACGCTTAGCGACTGTCGCCCAGGCTTCAAGATGGCGGAAGCGCTGACGATACAGGAGGAGCTGGTAAGTTGACCAGCTTGCTTCGCCTGTCCGCTCCGCTGCCCCCCCCACGCTTCGCCTTGCTCATCGCCTTGTCTGACTCGCTTCCTCCTGCCGCCGACCGTCCAGGGTTGCGTTCTTCGATCAGTCAGGGCACTTTCATTTTTATTTTAATTTCCCCCCAGCTGTTACCATAGAGCTGGCTGGACATCATCTCGAATAAACGGGGATGGAGCCCGGGGCCTTTGCACAGTCCGTCTTGGTCCGCTGGTTACTATCAGCCTATCCGCCTATAATGTTTTGGCCGGTTCCCTGTTCAGCACGCCCGACTAATGCGTAATATTAGCCTATAGTGAGACCTTGGGCAATGTTGCACAGCGTGATCGCAGTGAGATGACCGGGAGCGCGCACCCAGGGACAGTAACCCAGGATGAGCGTGTGCATGACAGCATTTAAGCCAGACCTTCACCGCAATGCCGTCGCCAGCCCCGGCCAGGGTAGATGTCCTTTAAGCCTGCTGTATGAGCTTCCCATCGCCATCCGCCAGTGGCCGATTGGCTCGCAGGCCTCCTTTGGGCAGTAACACCGTGATTTCTTCAGTTTTCCCACTGATCATTGTACATAAGCATTTGATATAATATAGAGCTTATAATGGGTATGTTAGCCTGATTCACTTGGTATACATGAAGTTTCTCTAAAGGCACTTAAGACAGCTCCTTCCCCGGTTATCATTAAACGTATTACTTGTGCATGTTGTACATACAGTGTTGTCAAGCGTGCAGGAGTTATGCATTATTGAGCGCATTAGTGCGTCCCGCGATGCATGTGTGAAGCGCTTGTTATTATATGCACGTAAGTGTAAATGCACGGTCGCTTCACGCTCTTATTACGCTTCAGATTGTGCTCGTGGGCTGTTTCTCATGCTATCTGGCTGTGTCTAAATTGCAGACCGCCGTGTATAATAATAGCAGTGGCTGGTCTCGGAAATCACTGACCATGACGCTTATGTGGCGGGGGCATTTAAATAGTGCAAGGGATGGCTGGGCATGTGGGACAACGGCCGGCCGGCGGGGGGCCGGGGCGGGGGCCGCATGACTTTCACAGAACGACACTTCCCCTCCTAGCGAACATGTGTGGCTTCAGTTTTAAACCCCAACACGCCGCCTTGTCTGGATTCTTATAATGTGAGGACACTGATTAACGTCCTATTCTCAGAGTTCGTTAAAGAATACTGATTTCATGTCTAATTCTTCCTGCATGACATTATAAAATGTATATTTTAATATATCATAAAAGTATGGTTTACTACTGAGGGCAGATAAAAGACCCAAAGTCTACTTGATGGCTGGAATATTATGACAAATTGAAATTTACTACACGGCGCCTGTATTTCAAAGCTTGTGAAAGCGCCGTTATTTCAGAAGCCGTCAAAATGTAGGTTGCGTGACGCTAAATCCACTATTGAGGATCTCATGAATTCCCACATATTTACGTTTTTATGCAAAGCTTTAGTCCGTTTGACTTACGCCAGTTTATTTTGGATTTTTATTCATCTGCAGAAAATTGACGGCCACTTTCAAAAATAATATTTATTGCAGAACAGTTGCTCGCTAAATTATAGACTGCGAGTTGTTTGCAGGATATCTGGCAACAAAATATAACCTAAAAAGAGAAATTCTTAACTGTTTATTTAGTTAATACGTTCAGTCGGCGTCTTGTGGCCCGAGGTTCAGCTCTCACTTTTACTCTTTGTCCGTGATGTCCCTGTGCTCTTCACAAACACCCGTATACCCTTCTGGTGCTCTGGGTCTGAGGCAGATGAGACATAGGTACGGTTGGTCTCGATCTGTAATTGTGGACCAGTCACTGCTAATGCTTAGTGGTGTCAGTTTAAAGGTTTTATTTATTTAGAAAGCTTTACTTTGTAGGAAACCTCTACCGTGAACGTGCATTTGCTTTTTTCTTTTGAACGAATACCTCTGCAATTCAAGGTTTAATAGACTACTTCCCATACTTCAGTTATGTTTATTTTTGGTTTCAGTTCAACCGATGATTAGTCTTTTATTAGGCCTGAGCTTCCCAATCAAGAGCTATGACAGTTCCGCATTTAAAGCTGCATAAATGACTGTATTACTATCTCCGCTACAATCCAGGCAGTGCAGGAGTTCCTGGAGGAAGTGCGGAAACTGGATCAGCACGGCCCGGTTGTGGAGTCGCGGAACACGGCGGTCAAGTTCCTCATGGCGCGCAAGTTCGACGTATCCAGAGCCGTCGAGCTTTTCCAGGCATACAGGGTAAGATCCGGCTGTCTGACCCAGCTCTTGCACGGAAATTGCCCATTTTTCATGGTGATCGAACAAGGATCTGGAAAAAGACCTGGACTGAAGTAGCTTGAAATGATTTCAGGAGTGGACATTCTATAGATGCTCATGTAGTTTCCCATCTTGTTCAGTCAGCAGCTTCAGATGTGGGAATGAGCCTTTATCTAGAAGAAACAAAGCAATGTATTAACGTCATTAAAAACGAAATGATAAAACTGCTGTGCTTTGCCCTGCTCTACAAAAGCAAGTCTTGTTTTCATACTATCATCAAGACAGGTCAGTCAGATTCTTTTAAGGGAGCTGATTTTAAACTGGTATTTCAGCCACATGAAGCAAGACTGAAACGAGATAAATTTTATATGTTGAGACATATTTTTCTTGAAAATATACATGGTGGAATGATTAAATTACACTAACCTCAGCAAAAGTATTGCATTTCCCTCCATGTGAGTTTTAATTATGTGCACGGTGTTATATGTATAGCGGCTGATATGTTTGTCAGTAGCAGTGCTGTAAGCATCACTGTAAGTGTCACTGTAAGCATCACTGTAAGTATCACTGGTGCCTCATATCTCCAGGGTTGTGGGTTCGATTCCTGCCTCGATTGTGCGTGCGTTTGCTGCTGCAGGTGTTCCTAGGCTCATTGTGTCCCCGTACCGGAAGAGCAGTGATTGATGGATGGATGGATGGATGGATGGTTGGATGGGTGGGTGTTTGGCATTCTCTGGCACTGTCTTTACTTTGCCCCCTGATCCCGTCCATAGCGTCAGATTCTCATTTTCGGTATACGCTGTCGGTCATTGTTGCTTGTCCGTATCAGAGTACGAGGCTGAGGGAGGGAATTCGCGAAATCCGCCCGGAAGAGGAGCCGCTGCAGTCCGAGCTGCTCAGCGGGAAGTTCACGGTTCTGGTGAGTGTAGTCCGGAACATGCTGTGCCCACCATGCAATGCTAAGTGCTCAGAATCCGCTGCCTGTGTCCATGCGTAGCCCTATAGAGACGCTAGGGGTGCCGCCATAGCCCTGTTCACGGCTCGCCTCCACAGACCAGACTACACTACCCATAAGGCTGTGCTGCAGGCCGTCATCTACCAACTAGACAAAGCGATTGAGAGGTAAGTGGTTTGTTTATTAACATGGTCATGTTTTTGTATTTAGTTCTGAACATTTTCTGTGTGCTTATTTTTAGCTTTCATTGCAAGAACTAGGAACTTATTGTTTTTTAGAACCATGCGGCTTAAGAAGCATTGTTTTTATTGTCTTTTCCTAATCTGTAGTACTTCCCTGCACTTAACTGTTCTCTAAAAATAGGCCCACCAGTGAACCTTGGCCAAATTAGACCCCGATTCCAGTCAAGCTCTGCTTGTTTCGAGCATTCGGTGGATGACGTAACTGCAGACTTTGGAGCAGGCTAACTTGCGTTTACAGCTGAGGGTGTCGTGGTACTCAACCCTCTCCTCTCTTCTTCATCAGCATCCAGACACAGCGGGCCGGGTTGGTCTTCATCTATGACATGACCAACTCCACGTACGAGAATTTCGACTACGAGCTGTCTATGAAGATCCTCAACCTTCTGAAGGTGCAGTGAAGGGTGATGATGATGTCGTGTGCAGCCATGTCACTTCCTGTTCCTCCGTTTCTAATAAGGTGCTCTACCATGTGTCCAGGGGGCGGGTTTATTGTTTCTGGGGCTCTGCTCAAAAGGTCACTTTGGGGTCTTCCCTGGCCTTTTAGTGTAGTGACTGTCTATGACCAGCAGGGGGCCTCGGTGGTGGTTTGAGTGGCGGTAAGCACACTGAATGCCTCCTCCCTCCCCCTCTCCCGGACAGGGTGCCTTCCCCGCCCGCCTCAAGTGTGTGTTCATCGTGTCGTCCCCTCTGTGGTTTCGGGCCTCACTTGCTGTTCTGCGGCTCCTGGTGCGGGAGAAGCTGAGAGAGAGGGTAAGCTTCACTCCCCTGAGAAATCACCCATAGCACCGCTGTTCCCGTCTTGTTCCTTTCTCTTTATTTATTCCTCGGGGTATTTATTTCTCCCCACATGAATCCGGGTCCGTTTAAGCTTCTCGTTAAGTATTATTTTTAACGTCCTGTTATTATCCCGCTCTGCCATCCTCTTGGCTTCACTCGCCAGCCCGGGAGTCCAGGTGCAGAGACGTTTGCGTCTCTCTGCTCATTTTAGATGTAGGCGCTGTGTCCGTCTGCCCAGAGCGTCCTGAACAGGCGCTCCTCTCGCACGACGCCTGTGAAGATTGTAACGTAGCAGAGCGTAGCATAGTGTGACGTAGCATAGGGTAGCATAGCAGAGGGTAGTATAGCATAGCATAGTGTGATGTAGCGTAGCGTAGCAGAGAGTAGTGTAGCGTAGCATAGTGTGATGTAGCGTAGGGTAGCATAGCAGAGAGTAGTGTAGCGTAGCATAGTGTGACGTAGCGTAGGGTAGCATAGCAGAGGGTAGTGTAGCATAGCATAGTGTAGCCTGTCAAACTTCCGTTTCCTGTTTGTGTTCCCTCCCGAAGCTCGCGCTGCTTTGCCTAAATGTCCATGTGTGTCGGGTCTAACCGCGTGCGTGTGCGCGTGTGTGCCCATGCCCGCCAGGTGTGCACACTGAAGACCCATGAGCTGCCCCGCCACATCCCTAAGGAGTCTCTGCCTGAACACCTTGGGGGTTCTGCACGGTACAGCCACGCCGCCTGGATCCAGGCGTGCATCCGCGCCGACCGGACATCCGCCGCCGGGGACGAGCTCAGTCGTGATAAGCCTGCTGATGGCGTCGCTCCACGTGACCACCGCTGCCCTCTGCAGGGCAGGACTTGTACTGTGGCTGAGCCAAATGCTGACCGGTTCCCCCAGCGCCTGCAGGGTAACTACGAGGAATGGGACGGGTCACTGCTGACGGCCAAGAGCACGGTCGTGGGGACTGACATGGGAACCAAAGAGCGTCGCCATGGCAACGGTCATGTAGCTAATGGACACGGACCCGGACCCGCCCGCAGGTCCCCGCACCGGTCGGACGCCGCCTCCAGCGTGCCTCCCCGTCGTAAGGATCCCGGGGAGGAGGGGGCGGGACTTGAAGGTGGGCAAACCCGCCCAGCGTACGCCTGGGGCTGTGGCAGAACCTCGGTGCCGTCCGTGCACGTGCCGGATAACGAAGGTATGACGGTAAGGGAGCTGGTGGAGCACGTGAAGAAGATGAAGAAGAAGGGTATCTTCCGGGAGTACGAGGAGATCCGCAAGGAGCCCCCGGCAGGCACCTTCAACCACTCAAGGTGAGTGTGCGGAACTTTCCAAAAAAGCCAGTAGGTCTCCATATTCGAAAACCAGCTCTAGAAGTTCGACCTACTGTCAGTAATCAAAGTAAGATAAAATATTACAGAGTGCAGGTAGTTACAGGAGGGGCGGGGCTAATGCCTTCAACTTCTCCACCTACACCACTTGCTTGGTTACCGATAGATTCGTGTTTTTTGGAATTGAGTCTTGTGGCACTTTTCCACTAAGAATCAAGCCGTACCCAAGCCATACCCAAGCCGTACCTGCGCCAACATGGCCCTGCATACTGGCAGCGATGAAAGCATGACCAAACCGAGCTGGTTACGTCTCCACCTTCTGATTGGTCGAAATTATCCGGCACAAGAAAGAACTAGAATTATTCAGTATTAGTAGTTTTGCACATGGTGACGTATTGATGTATTCCCGATGACTCGGAACTTGAAAATTTCTAACCTCCTACTTGGAAAAAGTACTATGGAACAGCTGAACGGAATGGATTCATGATGCAAATTTACACAAGCTAATGCTAATTCCGCTAGCGTTTAGTGCTAACATTCTCATAGACGCGTCAGTAGGAAGCAGCACATAATAAATCATAATGTACACAGTGTGAACAGTAAAATAAGCATCAGCGCGTCACTGTCGCTCCCCAAACCTGACAATGCCTTTACCGGGCTGACCTGCAGTGGAAATCTGAAGTGAGCTGGGGCCGTGAACTAGTCTCTCCTCGCGGTGTGGCTCGGGTACGGTTCGGTTCCTGCATGCCAGTAGAAAAGTGCCATTAATGCATCTCTGTCTTTTCAGGAAGCCTAGCAATCAAATGAAGAATAGATACAGTGACGTTCTCTGCCTCGACCACTCCAGGGTCAAGCTCAGTGTCATGGACAGTGACGAGGTATTATTACTATTATTATTATTTAGTAGTATTTATTTATACTAGATATTTATATTTCAGAATAAATTGAATTAAGGAAATTGGCTGGCCTCTCCTTACTCTGCTATTAATTATGTCCATTTATAGAAATATCTCAACCCAATAATTGATGTGACACAATGCGTGTTCTGAAGCAGGAACGTGATCTCACAGACTGTACGTTCAGGAAAGTGATCTTCGCTGTGACCACAACCATTAATACACGACTCATACGGCATAAAATTATCCACGGCTCTCAGGTTACAGCAATAAACAGTTTTAAATGGCGCGCCTGGGAAAACGGGGCTACCACGGGTGGATATGTAAGGGCAATGTAGCAGTAACCCATGCGGCCACACCTTTTTGGGATCTGATGGTATTGCCCCAGTTTGATGCTATTGTCCCAGTTATTGTATGAGTTTGAGATCAAATTGCCTACCCTTTGTTACCTCTAGGTCAGTGTTTCCAAACCCACTCCTCGTGGACCCACAAACGGTCCATATTGTTGCTCCCTCCCAGCTCCCTAGCAGGGAAGGAGCAAAAACGTGAACTGTCTGCGGGTGCCCGAGGCCCGGATTGGGAAACACTGCTATATCCATCCATCCATCTCACTGAATAAGCAGTGAGATGGATGGATGGATTTGTTAATTACCTAAAATGAAAATGTCAGACTTCCCAACTAGAGAGAGAGGATCTTCCAGTGCCCACGGAAATCCCGTGTCGCATAACTAGCACGTCTCGGTGGCTAGCACGTGTCACACCTTGCGGACTGGAACTCTGTTCAGGGCCAGATTAATAGCATTAAGTGCCTCAGGTCAGCTGATTGGTAGCTCACGAAATTCAGAAATGAACTTAACGTACACTGTCAGAAAAAAAAGAGTACCAGATTGTTCCTTTGCTTGTCAATGGGGCTGTACCTTCAAGGGTCTGCCAATTGTACCCTTAGCTGTAGGTAATTGTACCTTTCAAGGTACAGAAATGGACTCTGAGCAGCATTTCTGTACCTTTGATGGTATATTAATGCTGTGTGTACCTTGGGGATGTCAGAGTGCATTTCTGCGAATGGGTCGTCCCTTGGAAGGTACCCAAATGCACTTATAATTAATCCGAGCCATTGTCTGTATCCTTTGAGCTTCCCCCAGTATGCTCTTAATGGGTGTGTCTAAATTGCCATAGTTTGTCTGTTTGTGCCCAGCAGTGGACTGGCTTTGCAGTGAGGCTGTCCCCTTCCCGGAATTAGCTCCCGGCGCCCTCCACCCTGACCAGGATGATCTGCTGGAAGGAAAGATTTAGTACGGCTAAATTTGGGTCCCCCATAAGCCCCGTTTCCCAGCAGCGGTTGATGCAGTTACATCACGTTCACGCAAACAAGTCAGGCCCAAGCAAACGATCTTTACACCTGATCTTAATTAACCGGCTGTTGATCGGCTGATATCGCGTTAAACTTCTTGTCGGTCTGTTTGTGCTTCTTTTTCATTTTCGGTCTTGGTGGCGTGTACAGACAGAGAACAAGCTGTTCTTCACGGAAAATTTATTTTGAACTTTGCCCGTGCATACCGGGCGTCCAAGGGACCGCGTGATTCTATTCCTGTGGCTTTTATTTGTGCTATTAACAACCTTTTTTGCTTGGTAACCAAGTAGCCGTCGTTAACCGTCTCCTGGAGGCCCAGAGAGTGTTCCTTCACGTCTGTCTTGTATTAAGTCATGTTTCTAGAGCCCAATATCATTTCCCAAAGCATCCAGGCTACATATGGCTTTCATTTCTGTTTTCACAGACGTCGGATTACATAAACGCAAGCTTTATGGATGGTTACAAACGGAAAAACGCGTACATTGCAACTCAAGGTGAGTGGTCACATCCTGCAGGGAGGGTCTCTGGGGGTATTCGTTGTTTTTTAAAAATCTGTAAGGTTTTTGATTCCCCCCCCCCCCACCAGTCCCACAGTGACACACATGTTGTGATTTAGACAAGCTACACTACCGGCACCCCCCCTGCCGACAGTTTCACATTATTCCTGGGGGGGGGGGGGTTAATGCTGGTGGTGGTGCCCCCTGAGAAGATGGTGCCCTAGGCAGCTGCCTATGTTGCCCAGTGGGCTGCATGGCTCTGGCGATGGCCTGTGGTGGGTTGTTCAAGTCCAGAGAGTAAAAATCCAGACCAAGATTTTGTTTCACTCAACCAGTTGAGTCCTCTGTGACTGTGACTCTTTATTCTCAACTGGTAGGTCTGGACTCTTACTCTCTGGACCTGAATTACGCACCTCTGATTCTGGGCCTGCTAGGTTAACCTGGGGGCCTCAGCGATGGCTCTGGTTCATTTCGGGGACGGATCCTGCTGTTTCCTAAAATACTACGTTGTGTTGCAGGCCCTTTGCCAAAAACGTTTGCCGATTTCTGGCGCATGGTGTGGGAGCAGCGAGCTTTGATTATAGTGATGACAACCAGGTAACGCCCAGCCCCGAGGGAATCGCCTCTCCCGAATTTACCGTCTGTGTGCACAGAACAAATGCATTAAGCTCTGCTCACAGAGCCTGTTGGGGGCCGTCTCTTTCGTGAGTGGTTATCCTTGGTGGGCCGTGGGCACTGGTCGATGTGTGTGTCTCTGCGTGTGTTGGCACAGAGTGGTGGAGCGCGGACGGGTGAAGTGTGGCCAGTACTGGCCGCAAGAGGTGGGTGACAGTGACACGTACGGGCGCTTTCTGGTCAAGAACGTCCACGTCAGGATGTTCCAGGACTTCCGACTGTCCCAGCTGCAGGTGTACGACAGCGTGGTGAGTAGGAGCGTGAGCTTAGCGCCGGTGCCTTACGATGACACTTGTACCATGTGACCTGTCATGTGATCTCTGGGCAGTCCGGGGAGCTCCGCAGTGTGGCCCATTACCTGTATGTCAGCTGGCCTGACTTTGGCGTCCCCAAATCGGCCGGAGCCATGCTGGACTTCAGGGCCCAGGTCAAGCAGCACCAGGAGGCTGCTTTTCGGGCCATGTGCGCTGACTGGACCGGACCAGCAGGGGGCCCTCCGCTCGTGGTGCACTGCAGCGCCGGAATCGGCAGGACAGGTATTTTTTACGGCTCGTTCTAGAACTAAATATTAGGACAGAAAATGAGCCAGGCGCATAATTTTATCAGTGTGCTGTGATTATTGCTGTTTCTTCCTCAATCTTCCTCTCCTCACTGTCCTCCAGGGACCTTCTGCGCTCTGGACATCTGCCTATCGCGGCTGGACGACGTGGGTGCGCTGGACGTGCAGCGGACTGTGAGGCGCATGCGTACTCAGCGCGCCTTTAGCATTCAAACGTGGGACCAGTACTACTTCTGCTTCATGGCCGTGTTGGAGTATGCACAGAGGCGTGGCCTCCTGCCGGCCATCCAGTGGTCTGACAGCGAGTGACAGGCGGCGGGAAAACTGGACGGAAACAAATGACGCTGCCAGCGGAGCCTCAGAATAACCCCGCCTCCCCACAAGTGATGGGGCGGGGCTTGCCACAGACGGAGAGAGGGGGGCTCCGTGGTCTGTCCCTAACTCTCGGACTTAACGGGGAATTGGGCGATTTGGGCGGAACCAACCACATGCGTGTGGACCGTTTATCCTATCTCCATCCATCCCGTGAAACGTCACAATTTTGTTTTACTGCTGGGGGAAAACAGATCAGGAATTACTTAACCAACTTTAATAGGTTGCATCGGTAGTATACTTATATTCAATCTTTTTATTAAAGTGCATTTATTTTTAAAGTTTTTTTTTTGCTTGTTTTTTAATGAATGTAAACCAAACCTAAGTCGTCCCTTTTTTTTTTGGGTGTTTCTCTGCCCTGTTTTAACACCGTGGGTTTGTGTGATGTGTCAAACTTGTGCCTCTGCCCTGTTTTCCTTTTTACAAACGCAAAGACATGTTACAATATATGTATGTGCATATAAGTAGCGTATAAAAGGACAAAAACAGTCACTGATTTCACAGAAAACGCCAGTTATCGTTCATCAGTACACGGGACAGCCAAAGACAAACAATTTGAACTAATGAAATGTTTTGCACTCTGACGGCTGTTTCGAAGCGTCACAGTTAAGAGAACCTTGCTTAGAACGGCGAGTTTGCGTTTTCATACGTCTGTCTTTCCAGCGGTTTCTGGGGACACGGTTAAGGGCAAATTACTAGCCAGTCGCTGTCCTGGCTACTAGACGGTGCCGCAGCCTCATTAATGCGTGACCTCTGCTTCACACGCTCTGCTTCCCCTGGGTTTATAAAAATATCCTTTACCTGTGCGCACGTAGCGGAGCATGCGTGTACGCACATGCGGGTGCGTGTGTGCAAACCTGCATACAGAGCTGTTCTTGTGCGATCCGGTTTATCTGGGGTTCATAAATGTGCAAAGTTTTCAGCCTCGTCTTCTTGTCTGTCTTCGGTCTGCAGCTGTGTCGCATTTTAGGTGCCTTCAAGTCTTTATAAACACAGTGAAGATGTAACATTGTAACATTTGCTGTTATATAATTTTTATTATCTTGTTTGGGAATCTCAGGGGTTAATATTGTTTCTAGTGTTGAAACAGAATGTCAATTATTTTATTTTTTGTATTTTGTATTCTGCAACGCATCTTATGTTGCTTGTGATTCTGAAAGTATTCCTAGTGGTTGATTTGTTGGTGCAATGCTTGATGGGTATGATGACAAGGTTTATTTAAATTTAGTAAATTTGGTTCTTGGCTGACGATACTGTTTTTAAAACTGAACAAATCTGCTTTCTGCCAGTGGGGTCTGCCTTCAAAGTCTGTAGTGATGCTTGTGTTGTGGCATGTCTCATTGTGGGATCGTTGGCACCACATTTGGGAGAGTAAAGAAACCATTTAATACAGTATTTAAGAACCCATACCGGCAGCCATTTTGTCATTTGAAGGGAGAGCACAAAGAGAACTACATTTGCCCATAGGTCTGGTGAATACCTCAGTTCTGGCGCTGCGCCATATCGCTAACACCTTCCCTCCAAGCTCACAGTAAAGTTCAGGTGAGGTAAGACGTTCTTCACCTGCCTAGTTTGTGGCAGCAGGGAGGTACTGCATCCTGACGGTGAACTTGTGCTTAAAGACACCGTAATAATTCATCAGTTTTGTCATAGTAAAATATGAATATTATTCTGAATATTTATAACCATAACCATGTCTCCGCCTCTTGCTTATTACCGTTCATGTTTATGTTGTGACATTGCTTAGTAATACTCTTACGTCGAGTTACACCTGACTGAACGTCCAAGGTACATAGTATACAGTGGCCCAATCCCAATGTCTCCCCTAAGCCCTGAACCCTCACAAACTTAACTGGCGTCACCTGGTAAGTGATTGAGTGATAGAGGCCGCAAGGGCTCGAAATAGTATAAATAGGAATGGGACAGCACATTGCAGCATATCACGTTACCTTGACAACGCCAATCGTTATTTTAGAGTGTGCTCTTTCTACTTCGTGCCATATAAATATAACGCTGCCACTTCAGCCCCGGCACATTAACAGTCATATTTAGCTAACCAAAAGCAGGCTACAAGCAGCCAATGTCAGTATCTCAGTCTTTGTAACGTTCACCGATACCGAGGAATACTGATACCATTTCCTAAAGGCATAATTGCTAACAATGTTAGCAACTTACATAGTTAGGGCCCTGACAACTGAATGGCGGCAACTATGTAAGTTGGTATCGGAAGCTTTAGGGAAACGTACCGCTGAATGGGACAGCTGTGGAGGACTAAGCAAGTAAAGAAATGTACAAGGCAACCGTAAAATATACAAATGAATAAATCCATGTATATATTCGGTCATGATAATGGCGTAGCTCTACACATTAATCTATTTCTTCGTTTCTGTTTTTCCAGATTTCGCCACTCATTTCTGTGTGTATGTTAAGGTAGGCGGGTCTAACATCACTCAGTGCAGGATTGGTTAGAGGTATGCATACGTGCGTGCGCGCGCGTGTGTATATATATAATTTGTTCGTTTATTTATTTATTTATACTTGTTTAGTCGTCCATACTTACCTTCTTAGCCTACCTACTAATAATAAATAAGCTTACACGAATTGCTGTCAGTATGTATATTTCCCCCCGCCAGGTGCACTTGTGGAAACTGCACACATGCCCATCGAGACAGAAAATACATAAGTTTGGGGTGTAAGTAAGACAGTTACGTAACAGTCTGGGATTGTTGAATCAGTCCGTTTTACCACCTTCTTTTACATATGCGGGATTTATATTTTGCGCCCCCCCCCAATTGACCCCTTTGGTTCTTGCCATCATGCTCGTTGAGGGGACTACCGAACGGCTCGATGGTGTGGAGTGCGTGCAGGTAAAGCCAAAAGTTTCCTGTTGAATACAAATGACATGTAATGTGTGCGTTAGAATACTTTTCATTAGTTATGCAGGAAATCCGCGAACTGCCGCTCTGTTCCTCCCAGTTACACGGACGCATCTGGGTATTTTAATACTTGCGTATTTGCTGCCGCACTGCCCCGTTGTGGTGAAGATTGAGTACTACAGGTGCGCAATTATCTGTAATTCTGATCCGAACAGGGTCACCGCTCTTCCTGCCTGTACAGGGCGTGTACATCGATCATGCTTATTTGTGTTGTTGGTTCTAAGTAAACAGAATACACTCCCAAGAATTAAACTCCCAATTGGCTTCTGTACTATAGTATCTTATTCTCCGGTAGCAATTTACAGTATGGCATAAAAATCTGTTTAAATTCATTAAAATTTAAGGACAAAAATCCAGATGAAGGCCTGTGAGCCAGCAATGTGGACGTACGTAAAGAAATATACACCTTCTTGATAAGCGTTTGTTTTCATATTCATAATCGCTCACATGTTTTACATTACAGGGTGTTCATAAAAGCAAATCACAAATTGCATAGTAGGTATGTCCACGTCCGCAGACAGGTACACAGGCACGAACACATTCACTTGCAGCACAGTGGGACCATTTTGTTCATTTCATTCCCCAAATCCCATTCGGTAAATGGGCAGGTTTCCTCACCGCAGGCGCCGCCGCTTAATCCCACGGCGGCGCGCACGACAGTCAAACCAGACATTTAGGATTTAAGGCCGCGCTAATTCTTATTTATGGATGCAAGCGCGCTGCTTTGTGTGCGCCGCCTTCCAAAGCGGCACCATGTAAAAGCGCCATTTTATTAAATAGAAAATAGGTCTATTATCAATCCACTTGAGGCATTTAATACAGTGATATTTCTCCGCAGCTTTGGACACAAGTGCTGAATGGAATAAACTATTCATGATTCCCGTTTTCCTGCCTGCCCGGCTTCCCTCCCCATACAAACATTCAAATAATCAGCATTTTGCGGGACGATATCTGCCCGCGATTACTCAGGCTATCAATATATAGGCGTAATAACCTGGGCGATAGCATTACCTAGGAAAGGTCCGTCCCATCTGCCGCGGCCGCTGAAAGCTTTTCATGCTCCAGTAAGTTTGGTAAATATCAGCCGATAAAGACCGTAAGCCCTACCAAAGCACGGATTTTCTCTTAATGTCTCCTCAAAGTGCAGCCCCCCCACCCGATGCAACGATTACAAATTATTTTCTCCTAACGTCATTTTTACATAGCCCCCCTTTTTTCCGCATGAGTAGCCGGCCGCCGAATGAATGGATGCCATTAAAACAGTTCATCATTATCAGAGCTGCCCTGGCCTCGCTTCCCTTTCTGCGGGATGGAATCTCCATCACAAAGGGCAGAAGATCAGCGCCGGGTCCTGGCCCCCCACCCCACCCCCCGGCTCATCTCGCATGCAAATTGGCCTGCGGGGGCAGCTCCCTCGGTGACCTTGAGCTGCCTTTATCGCCCGGCGCTGTGATCCAGCCTGGCCCTGCTCGTCACCCCCTCATTACCGGGCGGTGTACGCGCCTGGCGCGGGGGGCGTCAATGCGCGCTATTAATTAACCGGCTTTCCTATAACTATTTAAAGTAGGCATCTGCGCCGTGTTTTTTTTTTTTTTTGTACGTATATCGTTTGAATCTAAATGGATTATAAGGTGCCGGCGTGAGTTCCCTCGGTTACACATTTAGGAAGTGCACATTAGTAACTATTGTGCTCACTGTCGAAGGAGCATCCGGAGATTGATTTAATTAACATACAAATGTGGTGACAAATGGTTATAAATCTGTGCAAGATAAACACAACAATGCGGGGATCTCGCCTTACGAGACAGGGTAAAGTGTGAAAGCGATACATGACCTGCAGAATGTAATATCTGAACTAAAATAGTTTTTAAAAATGAAAATAGGGGAAAAAAAGATATACTAGCTATTTCTCTTTGAACAGAACATATATGGAAGCCTATCACACGGTTTGCTACAATTACGTACTTTGTACAATAAAATCTGTAAATGGCCATCACTGACATTGTACATTGCATTTACAGTGTAGGCCTATGAAACAGTAAAAATCTGAAAATAAACCAACAAAGAAAATCATATATATACATATATACACACACACACACACACACACACACACACACACACACACACACAGTGGACCCTCGAGTTACGACCGGCCTGACATATGAACAACTTGGGTTACGACCAAAATTTTAGTTTTGACTTACGACCAAAGTCTTCAGTTACGACCCGAATGGTGGTCGAGGCCAAAACGTGTATCCGCTTGTGCGGCTGTAAACAAAGAGCTGAGATGCCCCGAGAGGCATCTGTAAGCTTCAGTCTGAGCTCAGATACGGCTGTTTGTGGACGTCATTTCGGTCAGTGCAGTGCTGTAGGCCTATATAATTAATTTCGCTAATTGCTATCAAAATGGCCCCAAAAAAGCTAGTAAGAAGCCGGGAATTGTGCAAAAATATGAGAATGGCATTCGTCTGACCGATCTGGCGAATATGTACAGCATGTCGAAATCCACCATCTCGACAATCTCACACAGAAAAGCTTTGTATAAGGAAGCTAGTATTGCTAAAGGTGTTACTCAAATTAGTAAGTTGGGATCAACGGAGTTAGACGAGGTAGAAAGGCTATTATTAGTGTGGATAAACGAAAGAGAGATGGCAGGTGATAGCCTATCCGAGTCTATGATTTGTGAAAAAGCTAGGGCTATAAATGCAGATCTCGTAAAGGATAAGCCATCAACGAGTGATAATGGTGAAACATTTCCTGCCAGTAAGGGGTGTTTTCACAATTTGAAAGCGAGACCTGGAGTTTTTAGCGTAGCTAGGCATGGTGAAGCCACCCGCGCTGATAAAAGGGATGCAGAAAATGACATTCACCACGTCAAACGACGACGGAGAAATGGTCAGCACAGTATGAAATTGTGGTTTCTGGTAGGCTAGGCACATTTTGTAACGTTTTGGTGAGTACACTAGGAAAATTATTGGTGTTTCTGGTAAATTGTGCACATTATGTAATCTTTGTTATTATGAAGAAGTTAGGTAAGGGGTGCTTTGGGAGGTTCGGAATGCATTATACCTATTTCCATTATTTCTTATGGGAAAAAGTCTTGACTTACGACTATCCTGAGTTACGACCAGCCCGCGTGAACGAATCGAGTTTGGGTTCACTGTGTGTATATGTTGTGTATATATATACAGGCCTAGTAACCAACCTGCTTAACATGCTTTATTTATTGATTTTCATATACATGATGTGTGCAATTTAGCTGGAAAGAGTAATAACAAGCTTGCAAAATATGCAGTTACAACAACCTTTTTTCCTGAAAAAAGTGCTTAAAATGCCTTTGATTTTACGGGTTAATATGTGTTTTCCTTATGCACCCCTGCTACGCTGCATGCATGTAATACATTGGCATTACACCTTATCTGCTATGTAGATTAGCTCCTGTTAATATTAGCGTACGTCCATCTTCTTGGAGTTTTCTACAACTTCAGGGGTTCAAGCAAGCGTAACGTTCATGTGAATTGGAGGGGAAACCGGGGCACTGTGGGAAATGTAGTGGATTTGATCTAGTGCAGAACTCTCCAACTCACGCCTGTCACAGGCCAAGCCCTGATGATTTTCCAGCCTTCCTTTACCTGTGAGCCAGGTGAGAAGCCTCTGACCAATCAGGATCAGTAATTACTAAACTACCTACCTGGGAGAACTGAAAACACGGCCTGGATTTGGAATCGAGGGCCTGATTTGAGGAGCCCTAC